ATCGTCTTATAGTCGGAAAAATACGGGTAATAGGCAAGGAACACAAAATCCAGCTCTCTCAAAAGTCAAAAGGGGTGCTTTGTTGCAGCATTGAAGAGAAGCTGGATCAGACCCCATGATGGTGATTTATACTAGTCTCCTCTCTGAATCATATCATCTGTCTTGGGTGCTACTATATACTAATTTTGAAAGGCCCACGTTTCCTTATTAACAGAGGAGACGTGTATCTTTGTTCATATCAGCAGCAATCCAGTCTATAAGGTCAAGATTTATGCTCATTTCCTACTGGACAGAGCAAAGATATTTCACAGAAAGTCTTGATGCTAATGAGTGTTAGTGCTTCATTGCCATCCACCAGGAAAGACAGACCTCTCAAATTATCCAGGTGAGTGGACTTCAGTTCCCAGGATTCCTGAGCCCATATGGCCATTGCTGGGAATTGTGGGGCTTGAAGTCCTGCCACTGCAAGGCACCCTTGTTGGAGAATACTGTATACCAATCCAACAAAGCCTTTCTGGATCCTGTGTTAATTTGGGTGGCTCCCACTAGGTTCTGTTACCTCTTCCTGCTTCTGTGTTCTACATATAGCATTCTGCTTTTTTCTACATCAGCTTGGTTCCTCCTGTCTGCGGCTAAGCCATAATTTAGTTATTTCGGTTGAGGCTATGAATCGAGCCACTGTTGCATAACATTATGTATGAACCAGGCCATTATGGTTTTTCAACAAGCCACATTTTAAACAATACTACTTTAGTGTTATAAATGAACTCATATAACTGATTTTAATAAGGGAAGGCCGAGTTAAGTGCTCTTAGCTTTTGCCGGATCGTGCATCATACATTCCCTTTATAGACTTCCATTGTGTACCAATATTTTGGGTGTATTTTTCAGTTTGGTTTTCTATTAAATACACTGTACAAGTTCAGTTTTGCTGGGAAAGTATAAAGTTTTTATTTCTTCTTCTCTTTTCCTGACAGCACGGGATGGGCATTCCCTCCATTTCAATCATGCTTCATGAACTAATCAAATTGCTACACCATGCAAAGTGCTGTGATGTTACCATTATCCGCATCGGTACCTCAGGAGGATTAGGTGAGCAAAGAGTTTTGCTGCTGCCAGGCAGAGGGGATGCAGATGAAAAACAGCTCAGGAAAGGTCAGATCTTTATGAGAATTTTGTAACATGTTTTAATATATATTTCAAGTCAACAAATTTCAGCCAGCTAAGGCATATGCAGAGAGATCACAAATGTGTATTTGCTTGATGTAACATCAGCCTGAAAATATGGGGGTGGATGTCCTTTCTAGATTAAAGTCATTGGGATTAAATTTTCCCTGGAGTCTGTATAAGAACGTCTATGTAACTGAAACAAGGAAATATCAATACTGTACTGTAAAAGAATATTTTGCAATAGCATTTATAAAATATTAAATTCCTGGACATGAAAATAAGGACTTCTCTTCATACTTATTCAACCGCAAGCAGCATATTAATTTTAATCAAAAAGAAAAGCTTTCAGAATGAGTGAAAAGAACTTCCAGGTCTCAAAAGATTAACTACCCAAGTGAACCTTCTCTGTTTTAAAGAATTTGATCACCTGCTCACCAGACTAAACTGAGACAGTTTAGTTTCCTTTCTCTGTGTTGGTTTTCATGACAGATTAAATATGTGCTGGAGGAACATATTCAAATCTAAGGCTTGTTACCCCCCTATGATGTGGGTAACGTATCTATAGGTTGCTTATGAACTGAATCCTAAGTTTAACATAAAATTGAATGTAATAAAAATTGAAAACAAAGTTTAGTTGACAGAATATGCACTGCCCTTGCTGACACTGGGCCAAGGGGGAGGGTATGCTACTGTGTTTTGAGAAGTTCAAAACCTGGGTTTCTTTGGAGCTAACTAACCAACCAAACTAAACTCCCTGTGTGTTATGCAAATTACTCACCTTTCTATTAATTGTTCACTCAGATATCTATGATTAAGACTTCTGTTTCTCCATCTGTTTCAGTATGTCTATGTCACCACTAAGTTTGACCAGGACATGATGGGGGGTTTGTTTGTTTTTTATGTAGTCTGTTTTAGTTATTTGCTCCAACAAAATAGCCAGATATTGAGAATGAAAGTATCAGCCACCAAACTGCCTTTGTGTCAGCTGAGAATACTGAAAAATGGCTGCTGGAAGACTAATTGAGCCATCAAAATTGTATGCAGCTAGCACAACCTTGTTGAGATAAGTAACTGACAGAAGGGATCTTTGGATCAGCCAATGATTTATTACCTCCTGTCAGTTCCACCTTTGTCTAAACTGAACTATTCAAAGGTTTTATTATATTCAGATTCCTAGGATGAAGATAAAGCTAATGTGAATGCTCATTTGAGTCAAACTCAATGGCTGGTAACTCCATGGACATGTCTATGTACTTTTCTTTGGCAATGATACAGAAGTTATTTGCCATTGCCTTTTAGGGTGGTTGTTCAACTTATAGTCTGGTCTACAGCCTCAAGATTTCTTGGTAATCTATTTCAAGTACTAACTAGATCTCACCCTGCTTAGTTTGGGAGAATAGCCAAAGTCAGCTAAAGGATGCCATCTACTATAAGAAGCTCTAATATCTACTGGTGGATATAGTTACCATTTCATATTGCTTCACCACCATCTATTTTCTGCTTTTAGGAGTTGAGCCGGGCTGCGTTGTAATAACAGACATGGCAGTGGATTCCTTTTTTAAGCCCCAGTTTGAGCAAGTGATCCTAGACAGTGTGGTGACACGAAGCACAGAACTTGATCAAGACTTGGCTTCTGAGTTACTAGAATGCAGCAGAGGGATTAAGGACTTTCCAACACTAATGGGTCATACAATGTGCACATATGATTTTTATGAAGGTAAGCATGTTTTTAACTGAACATTTAAAATAAGAAAACATTGTAGTATGTAGCCAGTTTTGGGGAGGCATCATTTAATGCCTCCCCAAAACTGCTAATGGTCACTTTGATTCCTATTCCCTTAATTAATTTGAAATCAACAAATACATTTATGCTAAAACCTCATTCCGTATCTACTCAGAACTAAATTCAATGGAATTTGCTTCCAGATAAGTGAAAGTACTGATTGCAGTCTTGGGCATTTTACCCTGGAATAAGCATCGTTAAACATAATCTTAACTTTCCTAATCTCTTTAGCTTCATTATTAGTGATAATAGTCTATCCTCAGTTTCTAACTCTTAAAAAAAAACATATTTTGTTAATTTTGAGGACAGTTAAGTGGTAGCATTTTGTCTTTTATTTTATAGGATTTGTTAATAAATATGGAGCCATTAAAGAAAAATGTAGCTCTGCATCAATACATTGGTTATATTTTAATTATATGTCTTGTTACTTTAAAGACAAATACAACAATTAAACTTTAGCCAACCCTCAACTCCAAAATTGAACTGGAATTTAGTTTCACCCTATGCAATTTCACTGATAAACAACAAGACAAGTTAATAGGAAAAGTTACCATACCGAAATAGGTCCAATGTATGAACGTATTCCTACATTAGTAAAGCAGAATTATTATTTCATTTCTTGACTAAAAACCCAAAATGGTCTCTAGGAAGTAAAGAAATAAAGTAGTAGGAGAGAAGTGGAATTTTTTCCCAGGCAGTATCAGAGCTAAGGTACCCAAGAAGTCTGCCACATTTACTCAGTTTTCTGTCAAGAAAATGACTTCAGTGAGAGGGAAGTTGTAGGGCTCCAGATGTTGCACAATTGGACCTTCCGACATACTTTAGTACTGACTATTTACGTACACCAGCGCTACTGGGAATGGTGGTCTAAGGGCTGTCCCCTAAAAAGTGGAGGGCCCAGACCAAAAGAATGGGCAGGTCCAGAATAAAAACTAAATTTGATCCAATTAGACTGTTTAATTCAGTACAGTTAATATGCTCCCTATGTATTCAATAATTTTCCCTTCCATCATGTTGACTGATTATGTGCCATCAAGTTGTTGTCAACTGTTAGAGACCACATAGATAGATTTTCTCCGTGACAATCTGTCCCTAACCTGGTCTTTCAGGTCTTCCAACAGTGCATTCATCACCACTGTAACTGAGTCCATCCACCTTGCTGCTGGTCATCCTCTTCCTCTCTTTCCTTCCACCTTTCCCAGCATTAGAGCCTTCTCTAGAGAGCTAGGTCTTTGCATAATATGTCTGCAGTAGGATAATTTCAGCCTATCATTTGTGCCTCAAGTGAGAACTCTGGGTTGATTTGTTTTATGATACTTTCCTTCCTTCCTTCCTTCCTTCCTTCCTTCCTTCCTTCCTTCCTTCCTTCCTTCC